CTACACTTCACCCTTAACTGGTAATGAAATGTAAATTATGCAGCACCAACTTCGTGTTTTGTAACATCATTTTCTTTCCAATTAAAATTATATAGCTTGCTTAATTAATAATTAAAATTAATTAAGAATAACTTGGAAAGATTTTTAGAAAATAATAATAACAAACCTACAAATTATCCTTTATGGGCATAACCACAGTCGACGTGAAGTGGAAGCAATTCCGCATTTCGTCTGATGACTGTGTGTGTCCGAACCCTAATTTTAGTCATCTTTCCATTTCTACCTTTAACTATCAAAGAACATAAAGGGGGAAATGGAACGCGTAGATAGAGAAAATATCCTTTTTTTAATCTCCTTTGGTAATAACAGGCAACGCACCTGTAAATACAGTCTGTTCACAATTAAAAAGAATAAACATTCAAAATTAGAAATTTATGTCACTTGTCATCTTTTTACAAAAAAATGGTTCTGCATATTAAATTCTATCATCATCATCGTCATCACCAGCTCACTACATGCCCCCACCGAGGGGCTCGGAGCCTACCCTAATAAGGAGTGACTAGGCCATAGTCAACCACGCTGGCCCAGTGCGGGTTGGTTGACTTCACACATATCTTTGAATTTCTTCGCCGATATGTGCAGGTTGCATCACGATGTTTTCTTTCACCGTAAGAACATCGGGTAAATTATGTACTTATGAAAATTCGAAAAATCGAAAATCATATTGGTAAATGGCGGGATTCGAACCCAAGACTTGTAGATTACAAGTCAAGTGTTCAAACCACTGAGCCACCGACGCTCTATGATTATTATTGATATTCGCTCTTTTAATTGTATACTCCGGTTTTATTCGTTATTCTTATTTCAACACAGTCTACGGGAACCAGTTGCTTCTATATTTTGGCGTACATCGTTGACCGCGTATTTTTGTATCTAATGCAATTGAATTACTGAAGATCCAAACAATAGCAGCCTATCTTACCTAAACATCCATGTAAGTTTATAGCGGTCTTGTCACAACTAATCAAGGTTCAGCTTCCAAAAAAAATCTATATATGTCATAGAGTGATTAAAATATAAGTATACTAGCTTTCGCTCGCGACTACGTCCGGGTGGCATAAAAAAAAAAGTGAGTAGCCTATGTGTTCTTCCAGACTATCCTCTACATCTGTACCAAATTTCACTGCCGAAAATCCCTTCAGCTGTTTAGGCTACAAACACCAACAAACATCCATCTAACCATCCATCTAAACCTTCGCATTTATAAAATAAGTAAGAAGTTAGATTTCTTTAAAAATTAAAAATAAATTATGAAACTATATAAATATTTATACCGAATATTCTAAAAAGCTCTCTAATTAACCGGTCCTTGTTGTTAATTAGCGTTTGGAAGCTTGTTTTGTTTACGGTATGATCGCGTTTCATTGCTGATTATTTGGTTTCATGGATCCGATGTAACTAATTAAATAATACATTACAACTAGCTGTTCCACCCGACTTTGTGCGTCTATTATTCTACAAGTCCTGGGTTTGAGTCCTGTCTTTAACCAATATGATTTTTCAATTCTATAATTTTACCCCACGTGCTTACGGTAAAATAAAATGATGGAACCTGCATATCGTCGAAGATATTAAAAGGTGGTCAGGACGACTCGCACATGACCAGGGTGGATAACCATGGCCTAGTATCCTAACTTGTATAGACTAACAGACTTATCACATGGACGTAGACCTCAACAAGTACACCACAAACACTTTTTACTCGTTTATAGAGAATTTTCGATATTTCAACAACTTTCTGCCATCTTCGTACTTCTACATAACCAATTGACTTACGGTTATTACCCTGGAAGGGTCCAAAACTGGTCGGTGCCGCCACAGAAAAATAGACTTTACTAATAGCAGTCTAATAATTAGTTACAAAAATATCTCACGAAAGTTTAAATAATTTAACATTTACCTATTTGAAATTGCCTCTTTTTACCTTCAGTGACTTAAAAATTCTGAACTGAATTTAACAACAGAGGCAATCTATTTGAATCCTAGTTATACGATGATGAGTTTCGACAGTGTAAGCCCACGGTTATAACTTTAATTCCATCAATGTTCCACACTAACAATGAATGTATGAATAAATATTGAAACGTAAAACGCATTCCCGACCAATGCTTCATAATTGAATATTGAATTATGACGCGGCAAAGTTGCAGCGGCAGTTCCATTGATTGTAAGTGAATAATTCAATATTCCGCTTCGAGGTTGTTGAGGAGCTAATTGCAACTTGTGTCCCTGCGGGGATTCTTTGATAGTATATAGGAGTATATGATTTTGTTCAGCCGTAAAGATAACGCAAGGATCTTACGACAATTTTAAGACAGAAGATTGCCTGCCTGCTAATTTTAAATTTCCAGTAAAAAAATCCAAACTTCTAACGAAATGCTATCATGTTGAAAATAAAACCAAAATATATGCTATTTTTTTCCGGAACTGCGTTATCGCTCTCTCATTGGTGAAAATATATCACTTTTATGATCATATTGTAAGTTCCCAAAATTGCCAACTGCCGTAAGATCCTTGTAGGTCTATACTATTATTAAGATTTTTTGCTCATGTCATATTACCTGTTCTTGTTTAATTACAATTTTTTATTTTGTATTTAATAATTGTATATCATATTTGTTTTTGTTATGTCTGATTGTGATGTAGTTTTGTTAGTAAGTTAAATCGTTAAAAAAATAATAATCATTTCGAGACGTTACATTTATTATCTATACTATTATAATAAAGCATAAACACACACTTCTTTGTTGCCTAAGATTATTACAGCATATTTTTGAATAATCATTTTTTTAATAAAAAGCCCTACACTACGTCACGCTTTGGGCAATACATTTTCACGCCATTAAACTTAGGGGGTAATATTTTGGATAAAAACCCAAATGTGGGAAAGAGAGCACAAGTTGCTGCCAGCATCAAGGAAGCAAGGTTGTCAAGGCTTGTCATGTCATGTCTTTGACATTTGCTATTGATAATTTGACAAATGTAAACAATAAAATAAAATGTTCATAATTTTATGCGGATGAAGTCGCATGGGAACAGCTAGTCTTTAATAAAATTTTGTTAATATAGTATTTAACATTACTTTATGAAGACTATTAATTTAAGATTTAAAATCTAAGCGCGACATAACACTGGCTGTGTTCCAGCCGCATTGGTTTTTTCCTTTAAATCAGAAAATCTTTTCCATTACGTTGAACGCAAGACGCTTTAAACCATAAAAGATATAAGATTTAATTGAATATAGATGAGTAATGTTGCACATAAAATTAATTAAATATCTACATTTTATGTTACTGTTTTTTTTTATTTCTTTATTTCCTGCTGCTATGTTTTTTACAGCAACCTTGTTATCTTTGTAGTTTTTTTTTTAGTTTCTTTACCTTGTGTTTTTTTTATTTATTTTCTATTTTTTTATATATATATCTAATAAAATATATATGGTTTCCTCCTATTACATGTTCTTTTTTTTTAATATCCATAAATTTTACTTTAGGGATTCTTTGAGCTTATGCAGCCGTGGACTGTATATTATATGTTACTGTTACAGTCAGAGACTTTTAATTGCTACTCAGAGATATACTGTCTGTCTATCTTATCTGTCGGCGGTATTTCCAAACCAATACGACTTAGGGTCCTTCAAGAAGCGAGCCTACAATTTCCTCAAAGGCCGGCAACGCATCTGTAGTTCCTTTGGTGTTGCGGATGTCCATGGGGTCGTTGAGCACCTTTGTGTTCCCGCCGGTCGTTTGCCCCCTTCTCATATAAAAAAATTCACGAAAAGACTACACAAACAAACAACTTATCAATTCTAGTTTTTTAAAATGAAGTATCTAAATTCTTATACGTACCTGTTTTCAAAAATAACACTCGTATTTGACAACTCTAATAGCCTAAACAAGAATATAAAATTTCTATCCAGAATTATAATAAAAGTTCATAACATAACTTAAATATTATAGTGCGTCTAAATAAGATAGATTAGTTTGATAAATGACGCATATGAAGTATCGAATTCAATTGGTATGAAGGCAAATGCCATACTTAATAGACAGGTATCGTAGTGACGAACAAACACGCATAGCAAGCAATTTTGAACTATCGATATTCCGTTTAAATAATTATCGAACTCAACTAAAATTATTATTTTCTTATTCACAAATTTAGAGGACAATTCTAGTATTGATTACAGTGTAAAGAATTGAGCGATGACAGAAATAATAGCGAAATCTTATTCGATTACGTACGGCCGTAGTAGTAATAAACATTTGATTACTCTAATTATTTGTTATGGTCATTATTAATTTGAGAAAACAGTGTTTTCAGAAGTTATAACTATAAATCTATCGATTCCAACTTCTATAGGAATAAAAATCGAAAATCAATAAGATTCACAACTGATTTTACACAACCCATCCCTACTAAATTTGAAGTGAATTGTCAAACTAATCTAAATTATTTAGACACACTATAGAAAAGAAATTAGTTAGTTCTTTTAGCGTGGAATTTTATTAGTATACAAATAACATTACAAACTACTTCTTTAAATATTATGAAAATGCTTTGTTTTAATTCATTACTAACATAACACAAAAAATTGCATTAAAAAATCACACCAAGTTGCTCCCGATGCAGTGAACATACGAGACATTCATTCGTTCGTTCCATTCAGTCATTCAGTATTCCGGTCGTTTGTTCATTTTACAATGCTCATTCATTTAAATATAGTAATGAGCTCAGAGTTTTCTCTCCAACAAAAACAAAAGAATAGAGTCAGCGGTGGCGGAGGTATTTTTTAGCGTTGACAATTAAAATGTTTTTTTTAAGACAAAAACAAACCGTGTGTTCATTACGTCATATAATAGTCAAAAAGGAAATTACACAAGTATGTTAAATTGAAGAAAGAAGTGAAGTTTTGAGTACTTTTAATGATATCAACTCACCTATTTCGTAGAACGTTACAATTGCAAGCAATATCCAGATACAACGCATCGTTACTCTGAAACAATAACACAAACAAATTACAAATGGACAAAATGATTCTGTGATTTATAAACATACTAGTTTTGGCCCGCGACTCCGTCAGCGTGGAATTGAAAAAAAAATAAAAGTGAGCCTATGTGTTCTTCCAGACTATCCTCTACATATATGTCAAATTTCATCGAAATCGTTTCAGCCGTTTAATCCGCAACCTTAACTGAGGGTCTATCAGGAAAATTTGCTAAAAAGAATTCTTATCAACATCATTAAAACATAAACGAGGTTTATCAATGTACTTTTTGCCCGATAACGGTGATGTACAAAATTATTTTTACATATACTTTCTCGCAAATTTTCGTGCTAGGTCCTTTTTTAAAGTGAAACAAATGAATGTGCAATAAAGCGTATCAAATATTGCGAACAAATTTTCATGTCAGTTTATCGGACGTTTTTAATCGAAACTGAAAACGCAGATTGGAACAACATGTTTTGCCCTGAACAAGTCCGACCTAAATATGTCATAACGCGAACTGTAGCATACCTTGTTATACCTAGAAACGAAATATAAACCGACGAATACTGACCTGTATAAATGGACAGGCTTTAAACTATGGTATTTTGCGAAATTTCATTGCTGGCTGCGGTTTACCGTAGAGGTTTCTAATAATAACGATAGACATAACTGGCAATAACTTTGAAAGACACATTTAAATCGAAACAAAGCAAAACTTGTCATCAATCGCCTATCTATTTCGCCTTTTTCTTATCGCCTGTCTATTTTAAAGACATATATAGGTTTATTTTTTAGTTAACTAGCTTTCGCCCGCGACTTGGTCCGCGTGGAATAAAAAAAACAAATGTGAGTAGCCTATTGTTAGTACTGTTCTTGCAGACTATCCTCTACATCTATACTAAATTTCAATGAAATCTGTTCAGTAGTATAGGCTACAAACTCTAACAAACATCTATCCATCTAGACTTTCGCATTTATAATATTAGTGTAATTAATAAATGCTTTTTAAAACAATGACAAAGTTGTTAACAAATTTAAAGTTAAAAAAGTATTCATCGTCATCATCACCATCACCCCTGCGTTATCCTACTCCCTTAGGGTCGGCGCACCAGGTTTTCGTCCTTCAAAGCACTCTATCATCTGTCATCTCAGTCATCACTCCCTTCTTGATCATGTCACCTTTCACGCAATCCATCCATCTCTAAAGAAATAGTCTATACACGTTTAATTTAAAAAGGTTCGTAAATAACACAATATCCGTCTTTCCACTCAACTTTAACTTTAATACAACTTATGACAGTTCCTCGAAAATGTTTTCAGAAAACTTTAAACTTATTCCTATTGTTGGTATCCTATATGCAATTTCAACATCTTTTGATACAACACACGTTATATTTTTACCAAACATACTAACTTCGATGTAGGGTAAAAATTTTCATCAAATCTCTACTATTATTATAAAGAGGAAAGATTTATATTTTTGTATGTATTGAAATAGCCGAAAAATTAGCCATTAAAAAGCTACGTTACCAGTGAGTAACGTAAGCTATATTTTATTTAACTTCACGCAGACGAAATCGCGAGCAACAGCTAGTATTTAAATATATAGTGTAGGGCATCAATTTTCGACCTATTTCTTTTTTTTATTCTCCGCCCAAAAAAGAGAACTGGAAAATTGAAGATCATAATTTTATGATACTTCAAATTAAAAATACACGTACGGGTACATGTTTGTATCCAGATGAAATTTAGCACTGACAAAGAACATAAGAACACATCATTTACAAATTAGTTTTTTTTTTATTCCGGAAACGAAGTCGCGGGCAAAAGCTAGTACTATGTATATCAATATTTTGGTGCCGGAGGCCTAATTTAAGTCCCTTACTCCTTACCCCCCTTTTCTCATAAGGAGAGGATGGGAAGGGGAAGTGGATTTGACAATGGAGGAGATGCATAGGAAGGGGAAATATCCTTTTTATGTGCGTCTCCTCCTCCGTCGGATGAGGGTAGGCAACGCATCAGCAATTGCGGATGTCTATGGGCAGCGGTCGCTTCGCCATTTTGGCGGATTCGGGTGGCCGATTGCTCGTTTGCCACCTTATGTTATAAAAAAAAAGTTATAACCTAGTTGTATTGAAGTCTCTTGAGTAATATTTGACAAACAGTTCTCTTCATTAGGTGAAAAACTTAAGGGGGTTCGTTAATTCTTTACTTATCTCATATTAGAGTTGATCACAAAAATTTGCTTTACTTCATCGGAAGCCTAACTCACTAAATAGAGACCATCGTAATTTGGCTAACAAGTTGGTACGAGATTCGTTTATCGCTTCGTATATATCCCGGCGTTACGCTATCGGGAAACTCGCAAATTTATTCATGAGGTGTTGATCGTACTTGTTGGATACGATCCCTTGGTTTTATTATCGTGTTTACGCCGATACGGCCGAACGAACGGATTAGACGTTTTTTGTTTTATGGTAGCTCTGATACGCACGTTCTTTTATTTTTTTAAACCGGAAAACATGATATATTAAAAACAATTTGTAACCGCTCTGTCTTCAACATGTAGCTGCTTAAACTTACTTCTTATAACTATATGTTATGAAAAATTAGGATGGATATTTGTAGCCTAACGATTGAACAGACCTCTATGAAATTTGGTATAGACGTAGAGGATAGTCTTGAATAGCTCTACGTTTATTTTTAATTCCACGCGAACCGAGTCATGGTAAAAAGCTTGTAAGTCATAGGAGAAAATTTTAAGAAATAATTGCAATTATCTTCTATACTATAAAGAGGTAAGATTTAATTTTTGTATGTATTGAAACAAACGATTTCAAAAATTCTTGCGCCATTAAAAAGCATCACTGAGTAACATTGGATATATTTTTAATATTTTTTTTAATTCGACGTGGGCAAAGTCCCGAGCAAAAGCTAGTATGTCATTTATATTTTTAGATTTTTTACAGCTCCAACTCCATATAGCGGCTTTAGAATATTTCATCATAATCTATCCAGTGGTTTTAAAATCCATAGAAAAATAACACAAGAACAATGTTTTTTTTTAGATATAACTAGCTGTTCCCGTACGGCTTCATCCTCATGATATTATGAAAATTTTATTTTATTGTTTAATTTTGTCAAATTATCAAATACAAATGATACTTCCACCTCCAATTAGAAATTTGAAATCTGTTCACTCTTTTAAATTTAAATTAAAAACACTTTTACTTTCTACACAAAAATCCAGAACATAAAACATAAAATCATACCCTGTGTGTATTTAATTCGTGATTTCTGCCAATGCGCGCTAAAATATTATTTTGTTGTTTAAATGTGTCAGGTTATCCATTGCATATGTCAAAATTTTATTGTGACAATGTACATTTTATTTTGTAATGGAGAATGAGTTTGTTATGTGTAAAACATGTGTGCCATCTATTTTAAAAGCCACGGAAGATCAGCACATTTGCTGAGTGGTTATCACCAATAAATAAATAAATAAATGTCAAAATGACATGACACGATATCAAACCATGGCAACCTTGCTTCCTTGATGTTGGCAACAACTTATGGTCTCTTTCCCACATTAGAGTTTTTATACAAAATATTTATCCCCTAAGTTTAATGGCTTTAAAATATATAGCCTAAAGCGTGACGTAAGTGTAGGGCTTATTATTAAAAAAAAAGAGTTATTCAAAAATATGTTGTAATTGCTGATATGTTGTAATCGTTAGGACTACGGTTTTGTAGGACGAGAAAAAATTACATTAACCTCATTTCCAATTTGAAAAAATCAAGAATTGTCTTTTTAACCTCTTATTGAATTATTAATAAGTCATTTGTTTATTATATCTTCCAATAAGAGTCTATTTTAATATTAGTAGACATTTTATAGAAGGTATCTAATTATATTAGATTATTTTCAAATCTAAAAAGACGTTGAAAATCCGTTTTATGAACATAATAATGAAGAAAAAACATATAAAAATACACAAAAAAGAAATAAAACATCCTTCATTAGCACATTGACAGAGAGCATATAAAATATCACAAATAAATTGACTACGAGACAAAATATAACGAAAAAGGAGTTTGTCCTTTTGTAACAAACGAGTACCTACGTCAAAAATATTGGCAGATGGCAATCCGCGGAAAAAATTGAGGTCCCCATTATTGATAAATGTGCCTCCTTGGTAACACACCGGCCTACTTTGTCATTCGTATTTCGAGGGCAGAAAGATTTTACAATAAATACATTGACATCGGTGATATTAAGTCGATGTTCCCGCCAGATACTCGAGTCATATTCTATACTAGCTTTCGTCCGCGACTCCGTCCGCGTGGAATTTAAAAAAATAATGAGTAATCTATGTGGTCTTCCAGAATATGCTCTATATCTATACTAATTTTCATCGAGATCCAATCAGCAGTTTAGGCTACAAACTCTAACAAACATCTATTCATCCATCTAAACTTTCGCATTTATGCAATAGACAATCGAACGGCAGGATTCAAACTCACGACTACAAGATCACTTTTTAAAAATCGATATTTTTTTTTTGTTTTTTTCAATTTAAACCTTCTGGGGTCTACAGAAGATCGGTAAAGTTGCAAGATGGCGGAAACTAAAATTAAGTCTTCGCATTTAAATGAGTCTACAAGAAAAATATATATAAATCATCGATTTCCATTATCAAATTGTATGTACACAATATTGAGAATTGATATCTCTTGTGGTTTAATTCAGGTATATTAATAATATAGAGGAAGACCACAGATATGTTTGGAGTATGTCACGGCTCTAGGGAAATTATCGTGTACAGAATATGTGCAGTCTGATTTATTACTGCAAAATGTGGATATTCTCAACATTTTATTATACGTTATTTTCATATGTGGCAATAATTCATTGCACAATAAAGCGGACGTCAGCTAGATATTGACAAAAAGGCTGATGCAATTTTTAAATGTATGAATTTTATATTTCATATCGACGTAAAAAA